ATATCAGCCCGAGCTTTATTTCCCAAGGAGATCACAATGACCTCGGCTGACCTTTACAGGCTTTCTCCGTAGTATGAAGAAAGCCTCTGCTCTCTGCGTCAGAAATCTCGTGAATTTGTGTACTAGTATGTTCTCGATTTCATCTGCCTGCTTGATCTTAATGCTGACTCGTATACTGTTGATGCTCGGTTCGATCAAGACTTTCTCGTTCTCGTTGCGGGAGACGGTCAATGGGTTAAGGAGGACTTCTGGAGAGCTGGCGGCTTCGATTTCGGGGACGTTATGGCGTTCAGATGTCTGGGACGCGAAATTCGAAAGGGATAATGCGGCAGTCAGGGAAGACCGGACGCAGAGGAGGTAAGGACGGAGGGATTGAGACTGGGAAAGCAGGTTAGCTTTGCAGAGAAGAGGGATAGAGGCATCTGACCATTGCCTGGAATATGACCTTTTTTATCCTCTGTTACACCCATAAAATTTCTAGACTTGCTAGATGTCTAACAGAGCAAGCCAGGCAGGTCCCTTTGAAAACCAAACGAACTACGTTGCGCCAGTATGGTCGCTGCCTGAGCCTAAGTGTGAGAACGGACAAAAAGCAGCGGGCACCACGGGTGACACTGACCGGTTAATCTTCGGCAGCTCCCAATGTGACTTTTTGCCCCGGCTGCCAGTAAACATAGTAATACTTACACTCCGGGCAAACAAATCTTTACGTCCGTGAGTTGGCAACAGCAGCTACCCATCATGTCGGCGATTCAGGGTGAGACCCGAAACTCCCCAATTTCCATGCGAGCTGACTCATATAACAGTGTTTGTGAAGCACCAAGGCAAGAAGCATGAGGTGGAGCTGGACCCTACATCGACAGGAGAGACCTTTAAATACCAGCTATACTCCCTGACAGGTGTCGAACCAGACCGTCAAAAAATCCTCATCAAAGGTGGCCAGCTCAGAGATGAAACCGAGCTCTCGAAGCTTGGGGCGAAGCCCGGGCAAACCTTCATGATGATGGGCACTCCAGCGGAGAGTGGACGCGTGGCCCTTGAGCGACCAAAAGAGAAGATGAAGTTTATGGAAGACATGACAGAAGCAGAAGCGGCAAGTGCTGAAGGGGCAACGCCCGCTGGCCTGCAAAATCTGGGTAACACGTGCTACATGAACTCGACGCTACAAACTCTACGCGCCGTGCCGGAACTCCAAGAACAGCTGTCGAAGTATACAGGAGCAAGCTCGTCTCGGGGGGTAGATCTTAGTCAATACGGTCTACAGGGATCAGTCGACCTCACCAGCTCTCTTCGAGACCTATACAAGCAAATGTCCGAGACACAAGAAGGCTTCCCACCATTGATCTTCCTCAACGCTCTACAGACAACTTTCCCCCAGTTTGCAGAGAAGTCAAGGACCGGCCATGGCTATGCACAACAAGATGCCGAAGAAGCATGGACACAGATCCTATCCCAACTACGGCAAAAGCTCAAGATCAAAGCTCCTCCAGTCCCGTCGACCTCATCGTCTTCTGCCGAAGAAACAAAAAACGCACGAGAGATTTCCTTCATCGACAAGTACCTTGCCGGCCGCTTCTCCTCGACTCTCACTTGTGACGAGCCAGCAGCAATCGAAGCAGGCGAGGAGCCTATCCTGAGCGAAGATGCTTTCCTGAAATTAGACTGCCATATCCTCAATGCCACTAATCACCTTCGCGACGGCATTCTCAAAGGTCTTGAAGAGAAGATCGAAAAGCACTCTCCAACTCTTGACCGCGATGCCCTCTACACCAAAACCTCCCTAATCTCGCGTCTCCCTAAATACCTCACAGTTCATTTCATCCGCTTTTGGTGGAAGGCTACTATTCGTAAGAAGTCGAAGATCATGAAGAAGGTGACCTTCCCAGCGGAGTTGGACGTGGTAGAGTTCTGCACCGAGACGCTGAGGAATCAGCTGGTGCCCGTGCGTGACAAAGTCCGCGAAGTGCGCAAGGATGAAGAGGATGTTGTGCGGGCCCGCAAACGCCAAAAGCTGGCACATAAGCAAGAACAAGACCGTGCTGCGGACGAGCTGAAGGCGAAGGGTCCGGCGGACGAGAAGAAGCTGGTCAATGACAAGGCAGCCGAGAAGGAGGGCGATGACAAGGAGATGACAGACGCTGTGTACAAGACAGACGGCGAGTACGACTCCGAGCGAGCTGCATCGATTTTAGCAGCTAAGAAAGAGCTTTTCGGTCTCATCAACCCAGAGCTCGCGGCCGATGAAGGATCTAATAAGTCTGGACTATATGAGCTCAGGGGTGTGGTGACTCATCAGGGGGCCAGTGCAGATAGCGGACACTACACTTCGTATGTCAAGAAGCAAGGACCGATAGATCATGAGACTGGCAAGAGGAAGGAGGAGGATGGCAAGTGGTGGTGGTTCAACGATGAGAAAGTAAGCGAGGTCGGGACGGAGAAGATTGAGTCATTAAGTGGTGGTGGTAAGTCTTGCATTCCGACACGACAGGGTTGTCTGATGCTAATGACTGTGACAGGCGAGAGTCACTCTGCTTTGATCCTCCTCTATCGTGCTATCGACTTGCCAACAGCTGAAGAAGTCAAGGAGTAGCTGGCAGGCATGAAAAAGTTAGCATATACAGGTGTTCCATCTGCGTTCTCTGCGATAGTGGATTATACGATAAATAATTGCATAGCGGCAGAGGAGAGCAGCCGTAGATCATCGATCGCAGGTGCCTCGGGCATTCGTAGCGAATGCATCTATGATTTTAACAACCCTTTTCTGAGCCATCCACTTTTTCGCCCTACCTAAACGTGCAGGTGAACCTGACAGACTGGGAAATCGGAAAAGAGTATCGAGCGTTTGGATGTTAAAGTCGCTACTGACCAGCCATTTCGGTTTCTGATTGATTTAACTTCGAGGGCTCATCTATCATCGAGACGGATGATACGTTACGGTTGTGCCTGACAAAAGAATACAAGATACGATTTATAAGCCATGTAGTTTGTCTTGAAAGTGATATGATTTTTACAGTATCTTCACCTTTTTACACATCTCATCATCAATCGACATTCGTCGTACTGCTTTTGACTTCCAAGCTCGACCAGTCTGCATCTACCCTGGCTGGCACTCACAATTCCTGCGGCTTCTCGTTGCCCATCAAAGGCTCAAGCCTCTCTTTGAGCTCCTCAACGGTCATCTCTCCACCATCCCAGTGCTGCACGCCACGGTCGACAGCCTTCGGAGGGACGAGCACATTACTTACGACGTGGATGACGCCATCTGACGCGATCCCATCCTCGATCGTGACAGTGGAGAAGGCGTTAATCTTGATTTCAATGTAACGGCCATAGCGGGCGACGTCAACGCTGAGAGACTTGTCATCAAGAAGAGTCTTGAGGTCAATCTAGGCATTGAATTTAGCCAAAAATTTGACGGACGCTACGAGCAGGGGACAAGACTTACGTGGAAGAAACCTTTGGGGATGCCATCTTTTTCCACGGAATTGTCCACAGATTCAGACTTGTAGTAAGCATCAGAATACAGTGTCTGATTGGCGACGACGTGATACTCTAGAAGAGCCTTCAGGTATTTCTGACCATATTTGCTAAAGAGGAAACCGTTGATCTTAGGACCCAGCTTCTGGAAGGCGAAGTTGGAGGGGGCGAAAATTGTTCCACCAATATGGTTCGAGGTGTCCGCGATAGCGGGCAGAAGACCGGTCTTTGTAAGGCCGAGTTCAAGGGTGCTGAACTCGCCAGGGAGGAACTGAATGATGCTGGCAATCTTTGGGGGCGGGATCAGTAGGCTATCAACGCCATGGATAACGCCGTTCGTTCCAAACTGGACGTGGTCAGCTTCGTCTATCGGTAGGTGTTGGAAGACGTACGATATCAATGGCAACAATGCGGCTGTAGAAGTTGACTGTTAGGCCTTTCAAACCAATCTCCGTAGCCAAGCGCTGTGGCCCAATGCCGAGCGTGTCAACCGAGAGCAGGGTCGGGACCGTGTGTGTGACCAAGACTTTGCCTGCTGGGTAGAAGTCTTCCGAGACGTGGTAAAGTAAGATTTTCTTGAGTTCCTCCTTCGATGGCTTGGGGGCATGCTCCGGGATTTTCTCGAATGCTTTGTCGGTTGGCGCAAAAACAGCTGCAGGGTCGCCAGTCAGCGTTCATGGTTGACGATCATAAACATCAATTCTAGAAGAAGACATACTATAATTTGAAGCGGTGCCATTGAGGAGCTCAATAACATCCTCATACTCGTCGATCAAGGCGGCAAGCTTGGTGGTGTACTTGCTCTTGGAGATGAGCTCATACACAGTCAGATTCGGCTTCTTGCAGTGGCCATGATGACCCTTGCGGCCTTTGCGGCCTTTACCACCGTGATGCTCCTCGTCATCCTCGGAGAAAAGGACAACTTCTTCTCCCAGTTCCTGAATCCTGTCGGTGGCAGAATCTAGCCATGAGCTGACATGGTAGGCAGTTTCGTAGGCCTTGTCCGAGACCTCTTCTGTAGTCTCCGTAGCGTATTCGATGGCGTCGTCAAAGGCATTTTTGGAGGTGTCTATGAGCTTGGTGAAAGAATTGTGGAACTGTTTGATCGCCTCGTCTTTAGAAGGGATTTTTTCAAGGAAGGAATCCGGGGCTCGGTCAGACTCAATGGCTACCTGGCTCATGACCTGCTCCTCGGGAATCACAAACGCAGTGGAGAGAGCGGCAAGCGGCAAGATCTGGATGAGCTTCATTATTGCTGGAATATGGAAGGTGATAATGAAGAAGGAGAAAGAAAAAGAGAAAGAGAACCAAAGCTGATGCCTAAGTAGGGAGGGAGTATACGGGGCAATGGTGACAGGCTAAGACGCGGCAAGGTTGACATCGATGACGACGCCGGATCTTTGAGTGTCCGGATCTTTAAGTGTCCGAAATCCGCAACGAAATCCCTGCGTAGATCGCAAACTCCACGAATTACTTAGGCACAGGCCGAGCGGCACCGTCATTCTTCCTCATCCCGTGGAAACATGGCAACTGCAGCGCCTTTGATCGTACCCGCGTTGAAGAAGCATACAGCCACGGTGATATGGGCGCATGGATTGGGAGACAGGTAATATAGATGCTAGTACGACTTCCCAGCGACTTCGCTAACCTTTTTACAGTGGAGCAGGCTGGTACGGACAAAGCTCTTTTCGGAAGCCGTTCTTTAATGGCTACAACCCTGGACTCTGATGATCCTACAGGATGCCAATTGCAGAGAACTTCAGAAGACGAGGCAGATTCAGTGAATGTGCCTTCGTCTTCCCTAACGCACCAAATATACCAGTGACTGTAAATTTTGGGATGGAAATGCCCGGCTGGTATGACATTGTACGGCCACGCGTTCGTCTTCTTGTGCTGAGCGGATCAATCTTTCATGATGGCTAGCGATGCCGGAGACCGAGTGCTGACTGGGATTTTTAGACAACATTCGGCGATCTTGCTCAAGCTCACGACCAGTGAGTCATCTGCTCCCAGCCATTCCTGCCAGATTCCTACTGTGTTTTGAGTTACGACACTTGCCACAGGAGTAGAGGATTCCCAGAAAACAATTCATGATGTGAATTGACCTCAAAACAAACATACTGACACCGAAATCGATCAGGCCCGGTATCCTCAAGTCCCGCGATTACTTCACCTCTCTTATCAAAGCCGAGATCGAGAAGGGTATCCCGTCCTCACGCATCGTACTGGGTATGAACATCTCTGCCTCTACGGGCCCAGAGTCTCTGCATTAACACACTATAGGTGGGTTCTCTCAAGGAGGAGCGATATCCCTCTTCACTGGCATAAGCGTAAGGCACTTTTCGGACTTGTATCTTCGTATCTGATACCGAGTTCCCAATTACGAGACATGTTGCGGGAGCAAACTACTCGTCCTGCCACGCATTATACGCCCTCACCATGTCTTATGACGTGAAAATCTATCTCTAAATCGGAATGCTGACTCTGAGGTGTGCTAGTGTCCCGATAAACTCGCCGGCATCTTCGGCCTCTCAAGCTACCTTCTCCTACACAATAAGATCAAAGATTACGTCAAATCAGAGAGCGCAAACAAAAATACGCCCATCTTCATGGGCCACGGAGATGTGGATCCTCTGGTAAAGCACGAGTGGGGCCTAGATACATCGAAGACACTGAGAGAAATGGGGTGGATAGTTGACTTTCGGACTTACAAGGGACTGGCCCATTCGGCGGACCCCAAAGAGATCGATGACTTACAGAAGTATCTGGAGGAGAGGCTGCCGCCTCTGAGTTGAACAGGCCGGGCCGGACCACAACGGATGATATGTTAAAGTGCGGGTTCGGAGTGGCCTGGGTCTTGTCATAAGCCTCCTCTTACCCCCTCTGCCGGAGAGTCTGTCCTTTTGGCGCTCAGAAGTACTGAGAGGATGTCAATCGAACATGTAACCCAAGGCAGGCGATTGACTGGTTGATAATCTATCATTATTTGCAAATGCAAAACTGACAGACACTCTGGCGATATTGATGCATCTTTTGATAATGCTCTTTGAAGGATTTAACGCCCTCTCTGCAAGAGACGGTGAGCTGTCAGACTCCTCCGAACTCTGCTCACGGTTCAAGATGTCCTCCAAGGTGCTCTTATAGAAAGTTGTGCACAGCTTTGAAGGCGAGCAAAGCATCTTTCTCTTAAATACCTGCTGTCATGGAATCCTTTTTTTGTGGTTGGGTGTAGTTACATTTGCTCCAATCAGGCCGCCGTTTTACAACTTGACGAAGCTGTTAAGCATGCAGCAAGCCGAGACACGGAGCATGCATGAAGCCACAACAAAAAGAGGTGTGTATCTGCCTAGTCTGGTTGCATGGAACTGAAATTTCACACTTACGTACGTACTCTTCCACTATGGTTTACTCTTTGCTCAGATTCAAGTTCTACTTTCTACTCTATCCTTTGGAGCTGAGCATGGCAAATACTAAAGAGCGCAATGCCTGTGTTGGCGATTCAATAGCCAAGGCTAAATCTGGCTTGGGAAAAGGTGGGCAGAACAGGATCTCGGGTTTCGAGGTGGCTTCATACTACAATTGGCTTGACGAGAAGAATCCAACAATGCTGGTGCCAGTTCGATATCCGTATTGTTCTTTTTGATGCTTTGGTCCAAGTGGCTTCACTAAATCACGACAGCTTCAGGCGTAACCCCAATGTGGAGTCCACCAGCCACTGCTCCAGCTCTGAAGCCAGACTTTGGTCCTCGGTACGTCGACCAGAATACGGACCGGAACCCGAGCTCGCCTTTGAATCCTTTCGTTCTGGCTGTTTAGACTAATCAGCCGGACTTCGACTTCGCGGCCGTCGACGTGGTTAGTGATCGTAGGTCACTCCGCAAGCTATCTCATCGACTGGCAGGGTGCAAAATTCAGGGATTCAGAGTGAAAGTCAGAAATACCGTCGTTGCCATTCAGTGTTGTCCAATAACGACTGCGTCCACAACAAAACTCTCAGTGTCGAACATCCTTTTCTTAAGCAGATCCAAGACTTTGCAGTAGATCATTCCTTTGTAAATCTTGCCGTTCAAAAAAAATTGTGTTGCAAAGATAACGATTTTGTGATGTTTCGCAAAGACATTTTACACTCCAGGCGCCAGTCCATGCGGTATGGCTTTGTGACTGGCAATCAGATGCTTTTAAGTTCGGCGTGGACACTGTAGGCAATACCGCTCTCTTATCCGGATCGAGAAGCAGACTCGCGAAGAGCTGCCGAGCACAATGTTCCATGGCTACCGTCAGGCGTTCGGGGACCTGTATAGTCAGCTTTCAGAGTCTGCTAAAGGTGGCACTTCATCATCGTATTGTGCGATACAGATTCAGGGGTTTGGGTTTACTCGTCCGCTCAGAAGTCGACGCCTACCTGCAGGAACGTATGAAGGGGCCAGACTCTCCGAAAAAGGCGAATTCAGGGGACCTTCTCAACCATGCTGACTTTGTGAAGACCTTATCGCTTGGCAGCCGGCCTACAACTCCCACAGAAACAAAGGAGAAACCTAGCAGCCGAGTAACCGTAGTTCAAGGCGGACACAATGTACCCCCTGCGGCAGTGTTGGAGTTGACAACGCGCTCCGAACCCGCCAAACGTACTTCTGACATCGAGCAGAAGTTGGCCGATCTGTGGTTTTCTCAGACTCTTTACTTCATTGAAGCATATTACCGGAGCGTCGGATACATATTATACAACCAACTAAGGCTTCAGCAGGGAAAGTTCGAAGATATTAAGGCGAAGTCAATCGGCGACCAGTTGACCAAATGGAAGACGGCTAACGCAATTGGGTTGAGAAAGCTAGTGACGGTATTAGGGGGAATTGTTGAGGAGGTCAAGAAGGCACAGGGCCCTTGCATTGTGAGATCTCTGATACTCCTTGCCATGCTTGTCCAAGGAATTGAAGTCGTTGTTCCATGAGAAGTGCAAGGGTCCCAGGAAAGCGCGTTCGAACTTGAGTAGCGAAACATGAGACTCAGAAGCATGGTATCGTAGCCTAAAACTTATTCCCTTTTTGTACTCCAAATAGATTTCGCTCCTCCATTCACGAGTACCTTCCAAAGTGCTAAGGGACACCTTCTCGAGCGGTCGGTATTCTAAACTTGCCCCCGGTGGCCCCCTCCTGCAACCCCCTCAATCAACATCACGATGGCCAAGCTGTTTATCCTTCTCAACATACTCCCGACCTTTCTGACGGCCCTCGAACTCTTCACCTACTACATAGTAATCGACAGGACCTATTCAAGATATCCAAACCTTTACCCAAAACTCTGCCCGTTATTTGGTCACGTTGGTCACTCGGTTAAGAAGCTAGAGATGACCGCCCTCAGAGCTGGGGACGAGTTTCCCAAGGGCATTCACTTCAGGTACGCTCTTCATGCTGCCCCCACGGCCGCTGTGCACCTACTGAGTTTCAGCACTCCCTCGCTGCAGCTGGGTACCCTACGCAGAAGAGAAGGAGACTATCACATCCTGCGGCATTCCTCAGACATACAACGCCAGCAAGAAGTTTGCAGACAGGAAAGTAGTACTTTGCGGTACGTGTTTTCGGAGTTTATCTTTCCCCTTTTGGACCAAGTCTTGAGTCTTGAGACATGTCTTGTGAGTTTCGACTCTGTAGACATGTTCCAAGGCTCAATGCAACCCCTCGAATAGGCAATACTGACTCCGAAATTATAATCCAGCTGTCCCAGGGGCCTTCACACCTGGCTACTCGGTCCGCCACCTTCCTGACTACATTGAACATCTGAAAGATATCAAAGGCAGAGGCGTTGATATTGTACTTGTAGTTGCTATGAATGATGCTTGGGTCATGAGCGCTTGGGGGAAGGCCAATGGCGTCAAGAACGACCAGATTGTGAGCCTAAGACTCAGCAGGCTGATACTGCGCCGCTGGCTGATAGGACTTTAGATGCTTATGTCCGACCCTGACATAGCGTTTCGAAGAGCATACGCTGGACACCTGGGGCAGACAGGACTGGGAGATATGCAATGGTAATCGATCACGGGAAGATCGTATATGCAGAGAACGAGCCTGGCGGGGATTTTACGGTATGTCTCGACGAGCTTGAACGAATTGTGACTGCACAAAAGCTAACCTTTGTGCTCTAAGGTGTCTGGCGCCGAGGCCATGCTTTCAAAGCTCTGAAGCGGACAGCAGCGGAGGCTGGCAGATGATTTGCCCTGGATCGCAGAAGTGTCGGAGACGTAGGGTTGGCGGATCGATGAATGAACAAAAGCTTCAAGACTTGGACAGGGGTGACTTGTTGCTCGGCGAAATGGTAGACGATAGGATACTTAGTGTCGCTGAGGATGTGCTGTAGCCACCTCGTACTCGGAGCACACTCGGACGTAACGGGAAGCCAACTGGCCTGGACTATGTACACCTCACCATGTGCATCCATATCTGGCTTGGTTATAGTTAAGAGACTGTAGCAAAAGTTGTGTAGTGAGGGAAGTTCGAATTCCTTTCTTTTCATTTGCGCACATTGTCGTTGGTGTCAACCAGAACAGGTCGGCTCTTTTTGTCAGGATACTGAATACAGACAGTCAAACGCATCACAGTCAATCCAATTGCAGATAACATGAAGAACGCGCCTGGATTGTAGGACTTTCAACAAGCTCATTCAGAGACTTCGCACTCTATGCATGACTTTTGCCACATTATCTGATCATTAGTATATCAGAAGTCTGGCCCCAGGAAGAAGTACGTGAAGGCACACAGCCCCAAGTAATAGAGAGAGCTCTAGCCGCTCGTGCACTCTGCTGAGATAAAATCCTTTGGAGAATGGATTTCATCTGCTGATGATGACTTTCTGGGAGGCATTGATCGTACGCACATTCGGAAGGGAGTCATCGATCAAACAGTCTCCAGTTATTTGACAAAGGATCACACGCGTATGTAAAGTAGTGCTGGTGATCCAAAGAAAGCACCTAGCTTCGTCGGTTTTCCATACCTACTTTTAGTGCTCGCCCAGCGGGCTTGGCAGTCATTTCCTGATAGCTGCGGAGCCTCCTCTTCCAAGCTCCACCTCCTCCAAATTTGATGAGCGTATAATACTGATCTTTACGATCACAACCACAATGTTCCGCTTTCATAAGTCCCTCGATGTAATAAGTAAGTCCTTGCAAAATCTGGGTTGCCAGACATATCTCGATGACAACGGAGCTTTTTCTGTTCACCGACTAATCTCCAAACCTGTCCAACAGCTCCCCATCTATGTTCAAGGAATGACACTAACCTAAAATTCTCCCAGCACTCTTCCACAAGCCTTCAGTACCCGCCTCCCTCCGAGTCCTCACCCTTCTCAAACAGATCTCCGCCCATGCCTCTGAGACTGCAACCGAAGACCAGGCTACAGACCACACGCATCAGAACAAGCTTCAGCGTACGGAATTTGAATTGAACATCACAGAGGACCCACCAACGGGAGATCAGATGAGGACGATTCTAGAATATCTTGGGGCTTGGAATGCAGGTCGGCTAGTCGAGGGGGCAAAGGATTCGGGAGATGCCATCAGAAAGCTGGGAGAAAACCCCAAGACATTCAAGCCGCCCGTGGTGAGTGCGCCGTTGCACTGGGATTTGAAGATAGAATACTAATTGGCCTGTAGACTGTGGACTGGAATAACGGTAACGTTGGTGGGTCGAGGCAAGTCGATTGGCACACATACACGTACTGATCATCTTATCAGTCGTTGGAGATGATGAGTCCGAGATCCTGAGAATGATTTCTCAGTTACCGAAAGAGACTGGTTCTGTGTAGGATAGGGAATTTGCTGGATGGAAGGGTGTACAAGGGAATACTAATTGCTTTGCTGACAAACGAAAGCGCCACTGCGATGAAATGCATGCTACAATCAGCAAATGACGAGACCGCCATGTTGAATCGCTTGAGCATTCCCATTAACTCGCTGAACCCGTAAAATACTGAAGATTCAAAGACCGAGAGAGTGGTTGCTCTTCCCGGCGACGCATCAGGAATGAGTGTTGAGTCATTTACCTCCCTTGAATTGAAAAACCAGGCATCTTGTTGTGATAACAAAGATGGATAATGAGTGAAGCTATGGTGTCGAGCCGCTGGTCAATTGAAGTGAAGCAACCGTTATCAAAAGCAGCTAATTCCATATTTTGCTTTCTCACGTCAGAACACTTACGCTGTCCCCAACCACAATGCCAAGGCGTAATTGAATCTTCACACTTCTACCATCTTCCAACATCTTCAATCTGTAAGAGTTGGGTGACCCTCAAGAAGCGAGCCATCGGATTCCTTTCATCCAGTTCTCTAAGAAGGGTAACTGCGGTCAAGCAATTACGCAACGACCCTGCTCCACTGCGACGACGGTTGCTACTTCCACCAGCACCACTGTCATGACACATTGAAGAGCTCCCACTAGCCTTGGATACCGGATCCCCGCCCCATGACTTTGTGCTTGGATGCTGTCAACACTTAGGTTCCCAAGATCGACAACACGGCCTCCTAGAGCATAGAGCATTGAAGCATCCTTGCATCTGCTTTTTCACATCATCATCACCATGGCTTACCATTTCGATGGGAAGGCCATCTTTTCTACGTGCAACGGCGAATATGCTCGACGCGAAAAGATCCCTAGCATGCGAACCATCCTCAGATCTAATCCCATCGAAGACCAGCAGACTATGGTATCAAAGCTTCAGAAAGACTTTCCAGAAGTATGTAAAGCGATCACTGCGCCGGTTACGGACACGGACGTGTATGAATACTTTGACTACTGCGACGCTGCGGTCCATGGCTTTGAGTTCCTTCGCGCAGTCCTGGAGTACATTGCCGGACTCAATGCAAGCGTCAGCGCCCAAAAGGCAACGAGGGTCCAGGATTATGTGGGCCGTTGGAAAAGCGCCAACAGTGAAGCCTTCACATACATACGACCTTACCATGCTCTCACCGACCTCTTTACTAAGGAGGACATCGAAGAGCATGGGATTGAATTCCTAACAGAGGCGATGATGCAGATCAGAAATCTGAAAAAGCAAGAAGACCACGATGGTATGACTATCTTCCTTGTAAATGAGGCGCATACGCTGATGATCACTTTGCAGAAGCTCGTCAAAGCGCACTTCGTCTCCAGATACAACATGCACATATGATGCACAACCAACGCAGTTTCACACAGTTACAAGCGCCAGCGCGGTCCCCGTTCCCTATAAACCTCTCCGCTGCGCAGGGCATGAGAGCAAGCTCCAATCCAGAGCACGGTCAGCCTCAACAGCAAGGAGGTTTAGTTCGCCACTTGCCTGGGCCTCCAGGCAAATGCCCAACTTCGCAAGCACGTTTTCCTCTCCCACGTCTCACGTCATCAACAGAGGTCTTAGAACATGTCTATCCCGGAAGCACAAGCCGTGGGGACTTCCATAGTGATCCCATAACTCACTACGCCATGGATGCCCACATTTCCTGGCCTCCGGATAGTCATGTCGCCATACCGTCTCGAGGTCTTCCTGGTCCGTTCAGTTACCGCCCACTGCCCCCTCCGACCCAACCTGTTCCGCTCCTTAACCGTATAGGAACTTTCGATGGCAATCTTCCCAAGGGAAAGAAGAACCCCAAGAAAACTTCCTCAGACGATGCCCGAATGGTGTCCAACACGGAAAATGGCCCACGTCAGGCATCCAATGGTGCAAACCCGAAGCGATCTTTTGCTCTTCAGAACATACAATTGCCATTCTATCCTCGATCGCCTGATGCCATACCGTTGGGCCAAGAAATACGCCCTTCTTCAGGAGGGGTGCCATATTCTGGTTACTATCAACAACCCAACTTGCCTCCAGGTCACAACTCAGGCAACGGCCAGGAGACATTTCATCACCCGCCTGACTATGGACAGATGTCAATGCAACCTGCAATGGAGGGTCGTTCACGTGTAGTGTCGAACCCTTACTCGCCAGCTGTCCATGAACTACAGGGACCAACCCAAGATCCGCGTCCCACAGTACTAAATCTTCCCATACCAACTAATGTGCGGCACCAAGGAGTCAGTGCGAAGGGACAAGCGTTCGAAGAGAACGCCGGCTTTGTTTCGACACAGGTGCGACCACACCACTCCCAGCCGCTAGACCCACACGCCTTTGGACACCAACTTCCAGATCGTCAAATGGACGCTCAAGATCGACAAGACCCGATTCCAGAGTTTCAGAGACCCGCGCTCGCCCCCATGCCAAACGCTAGTCAACCCCCATTTCCGCGAACCCCAGAGCGTTCAAGGGCAAATGAAAATCCTAGACGTCCAGTGCAGGAGGGCTGCACGATCTGGATCGGTGGACTACCAAAGGACTTCGACAAAGCTGCTGTGATGCATCTACTTAGACCGTGTCGAGGGCTCCTTGACGTTAGTGAGCCGAGGGAATCTTCGCCAGTAAAATATCACATTAATCGTTCATTTGCATTTGCAGAGTACGTTATACCCGTCAGCAACATCGTACGCAGTACTAACGTCAGCAACCACAGCTTCCAGAGCCCTGTTGATGCTGCCGAAGCACTGGAACGTCTACCTCAAACGCGATTTGCGAGCTTACCCGAGGGAAGTTTCCTCAGTACAAACTACCCCAGGCCCAAGTTGTACGCGTCACCAGGCCACTGTCAGCATGGAAGCGACGGAGAATCGAAGCGGCCAGTATCCAATGTCTCGCCAACAAAGTCATGCAAGGGCGAAGACTCCACTCGTGTAGGGAAATCAAAAATTGAACATGGCCGCAAATCATCGAAAGGTTCGGCTCGAGGGAAGAAACAGTCTACCAGCAGTTCAGAAGGAAAGACGGGAATACCTTCTGAGCGTGTCATTGCAGTGGACGTGGGCCAGAAGGAGTCAGGCCTACAGCCTCAAGAAGCAGTTGCAATTCCAGATTCTTATGGCAAAGCAGGATCAACGGCCCATGTGAGTCAGTCTGGTACAGACGGCCAAGTAGATTCGAGACCAATGAACCAGGATCCCGCACTCGTTCAGCCAGGCGCCAGCGTAGAAATGCATGCCAATCAGGCCTTTAGGTCTACCGGTGACGGGGTCGAGGAGATCGTGTCGGCCCTCAGTGCCAAGCCCCAAGTTCAGCAGGGCCACCAAGCTACCAGCTCGAGGCACGCTGAAGGCCGCGCAAAAGCCCCCAAGAAAAAATCTCAAGGTTCCAATAAGTTGCCAGGGCCCGATATTAAAGGGTCGGAGCCTCCCTTGGTACAACCTGCCTCTGGGAATTCGAAGCCAACAGCTCGGGCAAGGCCTTCTGCAAATGATGCTGGCAAATTTCTGAAGAAATCTGGCCGCTTGGAAGGAAATAGAAAGCAAGGTGGGTCCGAGATCGAAGCCAGCAACATGATAGCCCCTACAGTCCCTTTGCAATCCGCTTTTACCTTACCGAAAGACCTAGAAACCCCGGACCAGTCTTTTTTAGGCCGCAATCCAACGGAAGATGATGGCGAACAGCCGAAGGCTTCCGTTGCTAATGTCCCTAAACCCAGCAGTGGGGAGAACGATGAAGCGGAGGTGTCGGAAACCGCACCTGCACCTGCACCTGCACCAGGGACATCTGCCGTGTCAGCAGTGCCTCTCGAGCCAATATCACAAGCAATGAGACGAGATGTCAGCAGTTCAACACAAGGATCTGCAGACACCGGCCCGTCCATCTTAAGCTCCACGACGCTGTCGTCTAGTCCCCGGACTGAACGCTCGAACAGTATTACGCAGGAGCCATTATCGCCTATGGATCAGGCAGCTTGTTCGTCGTCGGAGGCAACACTATTTCCTGGTTTTCGCGATGCTGGGCAGACTGCTAGAGAACAAAAATCAGAACCCCTACCGAGCTTGGCGCCCTCCGAGACAGGGAAGGGCACCAAAGGTGTTCAAGGAGAATTGCAAAACCCTACTAACGTCGAATCCGGAGGGTTCCCGTTAGGACGGATCGAAGAGGATCTCGAGCAAGCTCCAAGCATGTTGTTAATACAGCCTTCACCACCGCCTTCCGATCGGGCGATTCTGAGGAGCCCAGCGCGCAAGCGTGCACCGTCAATACCACCTCGATCCAGTTCTCTAGCGGCACCTTTGACACCGATCAAGACACACCAGAAGAAGAAGCCTCGAAACTTCACACCTGTGAAGGAAGCACCTAGTGAAGACGATATGGGTACTCCCTCCAAGGTCACAGGTCTCGCCGTTGAAGGCACGAAGATGGGTTCGAGTGTGCAGACAACGGGAAATACGAAACTGAACTTTGCTGTCTTGACTGTTGACACTGGGGCGCGCCCCCTGCCGACCGACAAATCGAAGGACCTTCCCAAACCAGAGACTCCCTTCCTAATGGACGATGGAGTGAGAGTGGCCCCGCCAAAGATCAGTCATCAGACTGTGATGGAGGTCTCGAACGCTGACCGGTACTACGCGCAGAAGAACAACTACCAAGTCTTCCATCTGGTCAACGCGATGCATATCAATGCCACTTTCAACAGTCTCAACTCTTCCGATGCGACATCAACACATTCTTCCGAAACGAGCACTTCCGATCACTCCTCGACAAAGAAACAAAACAACGACGTTGAAACCATTCTAAGGGAGGCTGGTTTTCGAAGCCTCTCCGGCACCAGCCCGTTCACAATTAAAGACCCGGAACTGATTTTGCTTGAAACCATAGACGAGGGAGGGGACGCATTGGAGAAACACGCCAACAAACATGGGCCTATGCTTTCTTGGGTTGACGAGAAAGGCAAAATAGGACCAGGGATGAGTTTGGATGCATGGACCAAGCAACATGAAATGATCGAAGTTGTCAAGAAGGCAACTGCTGTGAAGCGACTTCTGGCTGGCTCGCCACCTTGGACCAAAATAGAGTCACTGCGACAGCAACTTTCGCAATTCGTCCATCACTCGTTCTCAGACGCACAGGAGCAGCAGACCACAAAGGCGGAAGCTCAGTCAATCCTGTGGGCCAAAGCGCTGCTGGACACAACTCCACAACGCGATTCATCAACCAGTGAGATGCAAAAGTGGTCAAGAAATGCCTCTCGTTTTGTGGAAAAGAATGCTTCGGAGCCATCGCCTGCTGACGCGGAGTGCCGGAAGGCTACAACCAATAGCCCTGGCAAGTCGTCCCGAGGCACGCCCTCGCAGAAGCAACAGCAACAGCGTCGGCACCCATTGCTTATCAACAAGCCGGATCCGCAAACCCTGGTCCGCGAGCTCGGGAAAGATAAGGATGCCTTTCAGACTGCCAATCCTGAATCGGACAGTTCTCTCATAAGTGAATATAGTACGGAATCTGAACCTTCACCAAGCACCGTCGGCCGTCGAACTCCTTCTGAAGAGCGACTAACGCCATCAGTAGCCCTCATACCATCTGTGGCTCTCAATCAAGTCAGCAAGCTGAAGGACATCTTCGCTGAAATGGGGGAAGATCGTCGACGTTGGTCTGATGATCGTTACCGGGTCAGCACCCCTCAAGAGGAGGACCGCATGACAACGTCTGATCCCCAGCTCAGACCCTTGGGTGGAGAGTTCGACGTGCGTAGAGTGACTGAGGTAAAGGATGAGGAGCCGGAACCAGAGGTCAAGGAGACGGAGGACGAAGTGCAGCAGAAGCCTCATGAGCATGGGCAGAGGGAGAGCAAGGGCAAAGAGCTACGCAGTGAAAATGAGAAGCAAGATCAGAGCGTAACCGCCACGTCCGAAGAAACCAGGGATTCTACAGCTGCTGGGTCAAAGGACACAGCTCCTGTAAATTCAGAAGATCCAACACATCAGAAGCAGCTTTCCTGGTCGCTCGGAGTGTCTTTTCCATCATTCGACAGCCACTTTACGACCAGCAACGAAGGCAGTTCAGGAGAAGTGCACCACACGCAGCTAAGAGGTGGGCACAGCCCCCTAAAGCGAAGTGGCTACAATGCTGTGGCTGGCCGGGGTATCGATGCAAAGCGAGGTGGAAGGAAGGAAGGAAGCAAGGATCCTTGGGCGCTACCACAAGGGGAAAAGCCCTGGGGCAGTGGGGGGGAAGAGCGGGGTGAAAAGAAAAAGCGTCAGCGTCAATAACTGGTTCCGAGTGCTGGATTCGGGATTGGCATGTTCGAAGGGCGTGAAAGCTTGGAAAACAGATGCAGAGAAGGCCAGGCGTTGGAGAGAGATAGAGCGTTGGATGCGGAGGAGGGTTTTGTATCTTAATATGGTATCTTTAGTAAGGAATGGAGTTGCACTAGCGATAGATAGGTATCACTCGCGTTTCTGGGGCATTCCTTCATCGTGTGAAGAGGCATTCGAGTGTTCACATGCTATGCTATTTGTACCCTGGCGCCCGTTTCTATCGTTCCGTCAGAAGACGCAGTCGCCATGTACCCCGTCTCTCGTAGGCATGACCCGTTTCATTACCATAATATTCAATGCTGCCTGCATTTTTCAAAGTCCCGGGAAGAAGATAGCTCGAGAAAAGAAATTCATGGCGCATGGCAAACATGTTGCTTGTAAAACAGACATTGAAGCGAAGAAAGAACCATCAAGCTCGTCACAAGATAGTGCCGAAAGAGCCATCTGTAGGGAGGGTCTTGCGGGGGCTGGTCAGCTTGCCGCTGGGATCGACGGTGGGTTTTCGGTGTCTGAAGGCAAGAGTCAGCACAGTAATCCTGTAGGAATACAAACTGTGGTTCGGGCATACCTGAAAGTAAAGCCAACAAATAACCCTTTGCCCATCTTCTCATCCCGATCCGCCATGTTCTCCAATGCAGTCTGCTTGTCGTGCACCTCCTTGTACTTGGCCATATCTGCCTCATTGCTGAAGTCATCGAAATAGCCTGCATCTGTTTCACCATCTAACTCCGGTACAAATGGGGCTCGCTGCTCTCGCAACTTCGACCAGTCGACTTCCGCGAAATAAGCGTGCTTGTAGATTTCGCTGATATTACGGAAGCGGTTCTTCTTCGAATTCACGCAGCGCTGGATCAGATCCCAGGTACGGGGAGAAAGGAAGTAAGTCGGGTCTTCAAACTTAGGTTTCTTGAGCACTTTGTCCCAGTGACGCAGATTGTGCCATGTTTCGTCGACAGTGGAACCTGCGAAGGGCGGGTATCCGGATAAGGCCTCGAAGAGCATGCAGCCGAGAGACCAATAGTCGACAGTGAAGTCGTACTCTTCGCCCTTGAGTACCTCGGGCGCCATGTAATCAGGAGATCCGACGATAGACTTGGCATAATTCACCTCGCGGTCACGCAAGCCTCGGTAGCCCTCACGTCGTTCGGCGACGGAGCGTTGGTCCATAGGGTTGCCGAAGGGCATGGAGAGCTGGCCGACTTCCTCAAGCTTGATTCGCATTGATTCGAACTTCTGTGGGGAAAGCATGCCAGCTGCGAGGCCGAAGTCTGTGAGCTTAACGTGACCGGTAGAGTCGATGAGGAAGTTCTCAGGCTTCAGATCCCGGTGAATGTAGCCTAGCTGATGGAGGGCATCAACGCAGCAGAACATTTCGGCGATGTAGAAGCGGCAGTGACGGTTGTGCAGTACACCAGTGTTGTTGAGAAGTGTCCGGAAATCGCCTCCTGGGACGTATTCCTGAGTAAAAGAGTCAATCTAGGCTCGAAACCAAAGAGCAGAATATTCATACCATTGCCAAATAGATGCTCTTGTCGTCCTGGAATGCATATAGTAGCTTCACCAACCATTCACTTTTGGCTGCTGTCAGTATGTCCCTTTCTGTCAAGATATGCCTGACTTCATCTAATTTGAAGAGGAGCTTTTTGCTCATTACTTTCAAGGCACAGACTTCTCTAGTGTCTTTCTTGGCTGCCAGATACACCTGTCCATAGCCACCTTGACCGACTTGAGTGAGGATCTGGAAGTCTCCATGACGGAGTCTTGTGCGGCGCTTCCGAAGATTTGCCCGTTCTCTGCCCAAATACTTGTGTCTTGCCGCTTCGTACTCTTCTGCAGGAGTGGCTGGAGGGGCGGGAAACTGGGAATTGAAGAGCGCTTCACGACTCTGGCGGTGGTGCACGTAACTCAGGAGATCAAAGTAGTGGTCCAAGAAATCTAGAGACGTTAGATTTAGACATCATTCTGCTCACTGGCGGTACTGACAGAGCTGGGTAACGTTCGCAAGACGTTTCACTTTGGGCAATTGCAGCTTCTCCAGCTCTTCAGGTGTCAGACTTCGTTGAGCATTGCATCGTCCCTTGGGGCCAGAGTCTGTGTCCCTAGCCTGATATGGCTCCTGACGTGATACTGCGGCTTGATTGGGCGTCGCTGGTTTTGACTGCCGTATGCCTGGAGGTGTATTCTCCTTTCCCGACTTGCGAGTTGGACTTCCAGGGCCTAAGGCATATTCTGGACGACTGATGCTTTCGTCAAATATCTCTTCGAAGCCTTGCCTGGCGCCTTTATTCGGTGAGTGCGGACTCAATTGCTGCCTTCCAACCTTGTTAGGGCTGCTTGGGCCAAGCTTCAAGGCATTTTCGAAAACATCTGGAAGTTCATTGGCCCCTGGAGGAAGCTTATTCTTGCTCGGACTGCCTTGAGGGGTGGCATGCGGAGATGTGAACCCGGCGCTGGTTGGCGTGTGCGGTGGCTCGTAGATGTCATTAGCGGAACGAGTGTGGAGAAGAGGAGGTGGCATGGGCAAGGTGAAATTGGGTTTGCCTTTACCCAGAGGTGATGGTGGAGGTGCAATGGCCGCCATGCCGTGAACGGTTGTTCTCTGGTCAGAGGTTGGCAGCAAACACCAGGCAACCCGACGGGCTGGCTTGGTTAGAAGTAGAGCTCTGACAGAATGGTATGATGCTGAAAGACGTGCTCTGATTCGGGGCAGGGGGATTGGCAACGCTGTCTGTCCCGAAAGAAGAGCAGGTACAAAGCTGGTGCAATTGTGTGGTTATAATATTTGCCTTAGATACCTACTTTACTTAATGTAAGTAAGGTAATAATGTTTTGATTTCCCTTGATTCATGCCGTTGGCGGCGCGACACTAGCCTAAGCGCCTCGGCATTTGCTCGGCTTCCACTGCGGTAGTAACTCACTCCTTCCATCCTTATTAATCCTATGATTCCTATCACTACATTACACACCATGCTATAAAAGTTCCTCGATACCGCGTCCCTTTTTGGAGATGAGTAGGTAGGATTGAGTCGGCTACTCAATTGCTGAGGTCACATGTTATCATCTGTCCAGAGGCCAAAGAAGTCTTGGCTTACAATCCAGCTAGAAAGATATTTCATGCCACTGTAGCATCTCTCATCATGCTTTTCGTGTGTGTGAAGGCCACCGTCGACTGAAAGAATCCCTTCTGATGCCCCATTGCGTCACATTGACAAGATCTATGGTTCCAAACTCGCCGCTCTCTACTGAGCAATGAGCATAGAAATGCCCATCACAGCCGTATTCGAAATCGCACTTCGTTCCATGCAGTCTCTTCACTCTTGCCCTTATCAACATGTGTATCAATGCTATACCAATGATGAAGTAATGACTTGCTCTTGTGAGATGGTAAACGCAGGCTTCAAAAGCGCTCCAAATGCTCGACAAGCTTAAGTTGGTCCGTAGCTCCTCTTCGACTACTAGAGTATGGCGCGTCATATTCCATTTCCTCCACCTCCTTCTCTCCTTCATACAAGGCCCAAGTTCAGCTGCCAAATCTTCCTGTATTTGTCTCCTCCGACTTCCTTTATCCAGGACATCCTGGCTTTTTCATCATCTCCTTTTAGAAAAAGCTCTCCAGTGATCATCTTCCCGTCTCCACGCCATGTTCTACAGCCACGAAAGTACGTTTCCAATGCCATTACGAGTTCGAGAGCTTGCCAGCTAATTACCCTCCGCTTGCAAGTCCTCACATCTCGTGAAGGAGGCGTCGCGACTGTGTGGTACGTACTTACTCTCCCATTCAGATTTGAATCTCAGCATGCAGCTGACATCGACAGGCTTGTCGCGACGCTTGGGTCTCGGTCGAACACCAAAAAGATCAATCGAAAGGCTATCCTTGACGTCGACATCCCGAAGACATGCAGCATCATCATCCAACCGGAAGCGCCAATGGCATTGAGATTGCAAAGCAACTTGCTGTAGGTTCCCAGGATGTGGGCATCTTGAAGCCTGCTCATACTCTTCACAGCTATGGTGTCTCTCGCGTCTTCTCCCAGCAATGTGGCTATGTATTGTCCGACGCGCAAATTGCCCAGAGTAACATGAGAGCGCTCCTCAAAGCCGTTCGTACCTCGGAGTTAGATCCTAACGCTGGGAAAGCGCGGTAAGTTCGGGTCTTTGAACAGTGGACTTGCACTGAGGACACTGGCAGCTCCGACCAGCTCGTCATTCAAGATGACCCAGCGTTCCTCCCAGATCTCGCCCTTCCGGGACTCGACATTGACTTATCTGCGCTCGATATCTCTACGGACGACTCTTCTCGCCGTTCCAGCATACTATCACCCCATTCACAGCGCTCTAGCCTTTCAAGCCATGCTGAAGCTGACGAGTCAATGCTCGGCCTCGTAATACCTAGCTCTGGTAGCGGAGGTGCTGGAGACCTGGGCGGGTTCATCCTTCCGGGTGAGAATGTCAGCTCAGCTCAACGTAGTGCACGGATCGGCCGTCTGTTGGACGACGAAGACGAAGGCTTTAACATCGATCCCGGCTTCACCATTGACGCCGATGGCAATTTGGTGGAAGAGCCTACTCCTGGACCAGGTGCTGCTCTGGCTGGCGGCATACGGCTAGGCAGTGATTCTGCCGCCAGTGCTCGTGTGCGTCAAGAACTAATGGAAGGTCACCAAGCTGGCCGATTGGAGGTAAGTCTGACTCCCAAATTAAATCGAGCAGACGACTCATCCAATAGTAGCCCGGTGCAATGGACCTCGACCTTGACCTTCCCCAAATCGACGACGACATCGTCCTGCCTGACGCCGAGGCTTTTCCAACAACCGCACTTCAAGCTCCTGCCGGCTCTGGAATCCTCGGTCCTTCGTCGGGTGTACATGAAGAACAAGAATCGTCTGAGTCTGCAGATGCTCCTCTGCAGCATAAGCGTCGAACACCTAAAACATTGCCAGTGGATGAAATGCAGGAGCTCCACAATACTGACCTCACCCAATGGAAGACCGACTACCTTGCGAACATGGCCGAGGCAACCGCAGCCAAAAGGAGCCACAAAGCTCCTGTCCTCGCAAAGAAGAATGCTGCTTTCTGGGTCGTCGGAGCTGGCATTGGCGGTGTAGGTGCTGGATTAGGCAGCTCAAAGCTCCAAAGTCCTCTGGATATGTTTGCAGGCGAAGCCATGATGGAAGCTTTGACAGGCGTCAGAATCTCTATCGCTGGACAGAAGAGAGGACGTGATGACGAGGAAGACCACGACTCTGGTAGCGAAGCCCGACGCGTACGGATCAGAGACGGCGACGGGGCTCAGATCGGCCGTGGAGACGACATGATGTTGGATGACGACGGGACAATAATGATCTCAGGCAACGATGTATGCATGAGTACCGTCAGTGGATCTTTTTCTCCATTGACCATTTCTAGGAAGTCGAGGTTGGGCGTCATGCTCCGCCAGCACTCGAAGATCCTTCTATGCCATGGAATATCAGCTCAGCCGTCGGCTCTCGTCAAGGCTCCGTCATCCGTGGTCGTGGCTTCGCCGGCAGTATTGGCGGGTTCCCTACGAGTGCTGGCGCTCCTAGCTCTTTACCACCCGTTGCTGCTGGTCCCAGCTCACAGGATAGACGCGCCAGTCGAATCCTCAGCGCCAGTCCTCTCCTCGGCCGCGGGCGCCAACGTTACAGCAGTCTTGAAAACTTTCCTGTTGAAGATGATGACGAGCTTCTCGGTGGTCGCCAGATCTCTGATGATCAAGCCCTTGACGACTTCCAGCTTTATGGTCCCGCTGCCGCCGTTGATACTCAAACAGCTGGACAGTCACAATGGATGAGAGCAACACTGAATCAAGAGGCCAACAATTTCCTAGAATTCGTCAAAGCCGAAATCACGGCCCTTCCCGCCCATGCAAGCGATGATGAGGATGAGCTTGCCGGAGATGGTCTTTCAAAGTTTTCCGCGTCCTTCGAACGATTACTGCCGCCTACACAACACAGTAAGATCGTCGCAGCTCAAGCACTGCACCACCTTCTCGCTCTTGCCACGAAGAGCCTGATCACTGTTCGTCAAGTGTTGCCGTATGGCTCCATTGATCTCAGCCTGCCAGCTGGGGTCTGAGCCCCATCGTGACCTCTCTACCGCCCGCGCGGGTCAGGATACGAGCTTTCGGACTGGATCAGAGAGCCGGTACCTTTTTCATTGTTTCACTAACCAAAAGATCTCAACGACATCTCCCGTGGCTCGGTTTTGCTTGCACTTTGCTCATGTTGCTACATCTACGACATTCTAGCGTATACCCCAATGATGTGAGACATTGCTATCATGTACCAACAAAGACACTGTATCGCTACACAATGGCTATATAATACATTCTAAAAAAAAACTGAAGTACTTGGCTTGTTTCCCACTTAGATTTTGAATTGCTTTGAGGGAAATGTTCCGCGGCTGCTTATAATTGGTCTTTCTGACGTCCATGCATGGACCTGACAAAGTTGTTTCTGAATACAATTTGCGGGAATGTTCGCATTTCAATAATATCGCGAGGTGGTTCTACAATTCTTTCAGTGTCCCTTTACATAAAGATTCCCGGCACCGGGCCTGTTTTTCCGCTCATGACGTTGGTGGGGTTTTTGCGCCGAAGATTCAATTGATCACTCTAATAAACAGCTCCACTCTCAATTGCCCTACTTCATCATTGGCTTCACATCTCCACACGCTATCATTCACACAAAGAGTCCTCAAATCGTAGAGACTCTTGGTTCTGCGTAGCTATGCCGAAAGTTCAGGAGCACCCCGAGCAACCCGAGGGCGGCCGCAAGTATGGCGCCTTCCAAGCGGTAAAACTCCCCCTTGAGCTGAATGCAACCGGAAGCTAACGAAGACCAATTGGGTAGGAAATCTACGAGGATGGCTTGCTCAAGAACAAACTACCAACCGTGACCACCGATCCAAACAAGCTTGAAGAACAGGCAAAAAAATATCTTGGTGCTAGAAGTTTCAACTATGTTGCTGGTGGAGCCGGTGAGAAAAGCACGATGGATGCGAACCGGCTGGCATTTAGACAATGGAAGGCACGATTCACCTCAATCATACAATATGGTTCAATGGCTGACAATCACCGACCAGATGATTCCCCGCATGCTCCGGCCCACCACACACCGAGACTTGAGAGTCGAACTCTTCGGTCACAAGCTCGAATCACCTCTTCTCATTGCTCCGGTGGGCGTCCAGACCATCTTTCACACAGACAAGGAGCTTGGAGTGGCAGAAGTCGCGACCGAGATTGGAGTTCCATATATCCTCAGCACAGCGTCGAGCGCCAGCATCGAGGACGTGGCCAAAGCAAGTGGGGATGGTGTGCGATTCTTCCAACTATACTGGCCCCAAGACGATGATCTCACCGTATCAGTACGTCGCCCAGACATCTGTAGACTGTTTGGCTTCAGTGCCTGACACAGTTTTGTACAGCTCTTGCACCGTGCAAAGTCTCATGGCTACAGCGTCCTCCTTGTAACCCTGGACACTTGGACTCTCTCCTGGCGCCCTGCTGATCTCGACAATGCATATGTACCTTTCGCCTCAGGGATTGGAGACCAAACAGGCTTCTCTGACCCAGTCTTCCGCCGGAAGTTCAAGCAAAAGCACAACATTGAAGTTGAAGAAGACATCCTACAGGCAAGCCGCGAATGGGAAGCAGCCGTATTCAGCGGCGCCGCCCACACGTGGGAGCAATTGGAGCTGCTGAAGAAGGAGTGGGATGGCCCAATCGTCTTGAAGGGAATCCAGCATGTTGACGATGCGAGGATGGCAGTCCAAGCTGGAGTTGACGGGATCGTGGTTAGCAACCATGGCGGACGACAGCTGGATGGAGCCATTGGGAGTTTGGAAGTGCTACCAGAGATTGTGGAGGCTGGTACGTGCATTTCGGAGCTGATACTTCCTACGTGGTATTGAAATTGAGTCGCAAGACATGTTTCGGGAGCAAGAGGACCTTTCTACTCCAGAGACCTGTCTTGCAATTCCATTACCTACTTCGACCAAGCAATGCTAACTCGGAAATTTGCGTAGTTGGGGATCAGCTTACGGTTCTTTTCGATAGTGGTATCAGGACAGGCGTTGATATCATCAAAGCTTTGAGTTTAGGGGCGAAGGGCGTGCTGATCGGCAGGTGAATCATTCCCCCGCGTCCTGTTCTTGCATAACAGTCCAGCTGACGTCTACACTCAGACCCTTTGTATATGGCCTGGCAGTAGGAGGGAAGCTTGGTGCTCGAGATGTCGTCCGAGGCTTGTTAGCAGTAAGCATTCCTGGTTCCCTAATATGCGTCGGAGCACCGTTCTCAGCCAATGCGCAGGACCTCGACCAAAGTATGGGCTTAGCCGGCATTCAGAACATAGCGGACTGTAACCGGTCAATGATCCGCAAGGTGCAGTATGGAGGCGACAAAATATCGAACTATTAGCTGGAAGTATGACCGAAACAGACAGCACCGAAGCAAACGAACAAAGAAAGCGAGCATGCAATCCTGATGACAGCGATCGTCGAGGACACTATCCTCGATGCGCGCGGAGGGTCAGTAAAAGTTGGACTGCACATAAGCAAGAAGGCTCCATAGCCAATCCAATATGTACGGAGTAATCTCCCACCAATTCTCGCGAAGATCAGTCCAGTCGCCTCGATAAGAACATGTCCTCATTCTATCAGTATCAACCCTGTGCGGGTCCGTGTCCATCTGATTTCCCTCGATGTAAACACCACCTCTCTCTGCTCTCATTTACCTTCTTGCGCCTCTCACACACCCTCTTTTCATCCTCGAAGATGTTCCTCCCGACCGGTCTCCTCCTCTCAATCCTCCTCCTCGTCTCCGCTTCCGCCCCACCCCCGCAACATATCCTTTCCAACCCCCCCTCTTTCTCCACCGAATACCGTATCCCCACAGTCCACCAATCCGCCGTACTAGCCCGTCGGATACTCGGCCTATCCTCCATCGCCACCCTCTCTACCGTCTTCCCCGCCACCTCCTCCGTCGAGGATGATTTCTCTACCCTCTCACACCCCGCCTCAGACCTCGGCGGTGTTCCCATAGGTCTAATGGATTACTACGCCTCCTGCTCCCCTCAAACTTGCAATCCTACAATCCTCGCAATCAGTATCGCCACCACCTTCCGCAATACACGCGCCGGCTCCAATGTCACCCTCTCATTGCGCTGGCATCCTCCAATTACAGCGCCGCCTAGTGACGATATCTACACGTACTCCCCGGCTAACATGCCGCGCTTCAGCCTGGTTGGTTATATCGAGCCGGTTCCTACGTCCGAGGTTCTGTCCTATGATGTGGAGGCTTGCTTCCTGAACAGACATCCAGATGCCGAGGCGTGGCTGCCGGGTAACAAGATCCATCAGAGCTGGTGGGGAAGATTGGTCGTGAGGGAGGTGTATTGGATTGGCGGTTTTGGGGATAGAGCATATATTGGCTGGATACCCGAGGGAGAATGGAGTGGCGTCAGTGAAGATGAAATTGCAAAGGCGAGGTTGGTTGGGGAGGACGGGTATGAGAAGTATACCGGCTTGGTAGAGCAGGAAGTGCTTGAGTTATGAAGAGATCGAGACGACGCCAAGTGCCAGACGTTCGAGAGACCCTACGACAAAGTGAAAGTGCCTTGGACCCGGAATTTGTGGGACTTTCGGGCTCGCCTGCAAAATTGCAAAACCTCATGTCACACTTCGCTAAGGGCTTCGTCGAGCAAGGCAGGCATTTCATTTGACGCAAGGAAGGACGTCCAGGACGGAAATCAACATGGCATGGACAATATGACGGGATGAAGACTCACGATAGGAACACGGCAAGGCTGCCTAGTCTACGAGACCAATGCAATGATGCCGTTGTTTTGAGGAGAGACAGGTGTCATTGGAGATGAGGTGTACGAAGGTTTTTTGGGAGTTCGTATGTGTAAGAAAGCAAGAACAGAACGTCACAGCCACATCGCATTCTGTAGACTCCGACGTTCAAGACAGATCAATACTTAATGTATCATCATCTACCTACTGTAAGTCCTCGCTGACCTCTTCTACCATGACTCGCTTTGGTCCATGGCCCTCCTCTCCACCTGCCTCCACCATCTCCATCTCTTGCCTGAACTGCTCTTCCTCCTCTTCCAGCCTTCTTCTTTCTCTCTCGTCCTCCGCATCTACGCCGTCAATCTCAGGCGCAGCATCAACAACAGACCTTCCCCTCACGCCATCCCCGAAACTTCTCCCGCCAGCCCCATAACCCTCCTTCTCCAATTTCTCCACCTCCTCCTCTTCCAACAACTTGGCCCCAACTCCTTTGGTAGCATCAATCTTCCTCTTCACAGCATTCGGGACGAACCTCGCCGTAGCCTCCTTCCTCAAATCCCTGACCACAGGCTTGCTCTCATACGTCGTCTTCGGCGCCGGTTTCGCCGGTAACGTTGTATCCGGCACCTCGGCTTCTGCCCCCTCACGACTCTGTAGCCTCCGTTCAGCACCCAGCGGTTCGCTGTTCGCGTTCGTAGGATGCCTCGGGCGATCCTCCCTTCGCTGTCGTGGTACAGGCGGCGGTGTGTCCCTCGGCCAGGGTATCTTCCTCACACTCTCATCCGTTTCCCCACCACTGCTCTCCTCTTCCTCCCGATTCCTCTTCCCCAGCCCCCCGTAGCCTCCTCCCCCTCTCCTACCGTCCCCTCGGCCTCGCGCTTCGCCTCCACCCCTATGACTGCTGAATGTAGGAGCCTTGTCGCCCAATACCTCCCTTGCCTTCTTCACCCTCGCAACATCCCGCTCTGCTTCCTCAAGCTGCCGCTGATCCCTGGCCGAGAGTTTTCCGCCTTGGCTTTCTTTCAGAGCGTGAAGGTCTGATATGGTCGATTCGAGACGGCGGGGATTACGAGAGGCGTAGCGTTCGGTTCGTTGGGCTGCTACGGCTGCTTTGCCTGAAGGGAGAGGGGTCGTCAGTTAATGCGATTGGACAAAGTGGAGAGGTGGAAAAGGGCAAGGGTGAGGTCGAGGTCGAACCTTTCTTGAGGGCTTTCTGCTTTTCGAGCTTCCGTTGTTGGGCGGCCGGGTTCTGAGCGCGGTCTTTGTCTTTGGCCATGGTCGAAGACGTGGAAAGGGTTTATAATAATTGAGATAATGGTTCTTAAGGGCGTGGTGAACAAAGGGTGGTGACCAGATGCGGGCCGGTTTAGAGCGCTGCTTTGTTTGGTAGGAGTGATATGTATTGGATCATGGTTGCAGAGTGATTTTGGAATAATCATGGAGATTGAGTAGACAATGTATGAATCTATTTCACTAGAAGCCATGAGCTGAAGGGGAAAGCCACCAATCTACGTGTCGAATCACCAAAAGTAGGAGCATAAATGTAGTCTAATCAAAGTTTGCCCTTAGGCTTGCATTGACTATTGCTATCAAGCTCGTTCAGAGCAAAAGCAACGCTTCCATCACTATTTCTCATCCGTTCGTCCACAAGCCATCATTCACTCCAAGCAGAGACCGTGCATTGCCATGGCCACTAGGATTCTCATAGGAGTGGGGGCGCTCAAGAACGGAGCGACAAAGAAACCGATTGCTGTAGTGGGTATCATGATGCTGGGGATCTATTTGGTGCTGTCGACGACTTTGTTGTATACGTCTGTTACGGAGGACATTGTCAGCGAGAGATGATTGAGACGGGATAAAATGATACGCACCACCAGCGGTTTTTTCAACGTACTCGACGGCATCTTCGAGGGTCTTCTTGGCGGTGTCTAGGTAGCTCTCCTCGCCAGGCTTAGTGCTAGTCGAGTCGGATAGATTCTGGGTGATTGATTTATCATCGCCTTTGATGTGTCAGCAAGGGCATGAAGTCCCGAGCAGGGCAGTATGGAGGAGGAGGATTCGTACTTGGCTGAACGCTGCCAGCAACTTTGTCACCTGGATCTTGTCAGTCAGAGGTCCGGCAGGCTGGTATGGAAATGTAATTTACCTGCGTCGGTAACACCTTCCTTGGTCTTGTCGAAAAGAGATTTCTGAGAATCAGGGGTGAACTTCTCCTCAGCCTTATCGCCAAAGTCTTTGCGTCTGCGGTCGAAGTTGGTGTCAGGCAGCGGTTCAAGTGGCTAGGCAGCATAGATTGCCGGAGAGAAATAGAACTTACCCAAGATCAGACATGATGATGGCGATTTGGCTTGCAGATTTGAGTGTGTTGTAGTCTTTGTGGATTTACTTGAGCAATTGTTTGTGCAGATGAATGGTAGAGATGATGGTGGTTGTGAAGAAAAGGAATGTTTGAAAGGAAGGAGGGGCAATAGAGTATTTATCGTTTGTTTCCGACGCTACTGGTGTTACCGAGGAACGCGCGCGATACATACCTTAGTGGTATGTGGTCACGCAATTCATCTTTCTGCCTATTCATCAACAGTTTCCACCTTGGCACGTTTTCGCACTGCTATATATGCTCAGAATGACTGCTCTCGTGCTCTTTTGTTATCTATACTTGTATATGAAACCATCAAGGGTCCGTGACGTCACTGCGGGGCAGCGTTTCATGACCTTCCTTTAGCGTACTTTAGATTGTTGCGAGGACCCACTTTGAATACGGAAAGAGGCAAGAGGTTCATCCACTCATGCCAGAACTTTACTTGGACTACATTCCTTACACAGCAAAATGATATTCAAGAGATTCATCTTTTGGACAATAAATATCCAAAAATCGCCATATTGTACCCTTCGTCCCGCGAAAATTGTTGCCCTTCTCATCGATACATCCGTTGACAAAATAGGGCTGCTGCTGCTGAAGGTCGACGTATCATGCCATCGTCGAGACGAGTCGTCCGTCCTGTCGCTGCTTGTCGAACCGCTCGCCGCTTCGAATAACCCGTTTCTTAATCTGGAAGCCCAGGTACATCAAAGGTGGGAAATTGTAGGGGGGCTGCAGAATGCAAGCTGCGGCAACCTCCCAAATTGCCCACTTAAGCAACGGCCGAGGCAATGGCAAATGCAATGTCCCAATACACAGGCACGACTTCGCACCAGGCCACTTTGCCCGCCTTCGTTCCAAGGCTGGGAACCTTGAAGAAGTCCATGAGTACGTTTGTGTCAATGACTTTAATGCCGATGTTGCCACGAAGCAGGGCCGCGATAAGGCCGGAGGTGGAACCAAACGCGTTTACTACCTACCGTCTGCCAGGCATAGCTAGAGATTCATAGACACGCGACGTCCTGATTGCTTTCGGGCTTACCATGTATCTTCTAGGATGAAGACCAGGTCATGAAACAGATTCCTGGCATGTTTTACTCTTGCAACAAGTCTCGCTACTCCAAACGCAGTACGAATCAGGAAGTAAAGGCTGGGGAGAGAAGCTCGCAATGATGACTCGCTCTTAGTAAGAATAAACATGGATGCCGAAAAGCGTGTAGCAGAGGCAGCTGAATGTCTGGGCACGGATCATACCCTTACAGAAGTTAAAGATTCGCCTCATCTCGGACATAGACTCCACGAACAACATGGCACCGCCGTACGAGTAGACTGCTTGCATAAGTCCAACGACCTGATCCTGAAAAGCCACTCCCTCTGGTGGACTTGCAGTCGTTAGTATGAGACCTGGGTCTATCATGTAGGCGGGGTTGGCAGCCGTGTAATTAGGGAGCATGTGTGCAGTGACAGCCATCGTTGAAACGACAATGATGACGTTCAATGAGATGGGGAAATGTCCTAGATTCCCTAGCTTTGCCAAGGTTCGGATCTGCCCAAGAAACATGCCCGGGATGGCCCATACCAAGCAAAGAATGATGAGTTATACGCCGTTTTGGTCCAGGCTCGGTCCTTTCGCGGCCATCTGTGACAGACTCTGCCCGTCAGAAATGATGATGATGCCAACATTGATAAGCAACCGGAACGTCTGCAGGATGTTGACACCGTGTCGTACGGTTTGACCCTATACATTAATAGCGATATCACCATAGGTCTTGAGAGGGTAGCGATCAGAGTCCAACTGTAGGACCATCTTCCATAGCAAGTATCCTCCATTGCAGGTAGTCAACATCAAGATTCGAGATCAGGCCTTACGGATAGCTTACTAGCCAGCGAATATAGCGAAGATATGTAGAGGACAGCGTTAGGCTTGTAAATTATCTGTCTGATTGCCCATCTATGTGTCGAACGGTGTAAGCGTGCATTCCGCCAAAGCTGCTCGAACGGAAGGTGCTTAAGGACTGGATAAAGAGCCGAGGGTATCCATGGTGATAAGGAAGAAGACAGCACCCCATGTGGCTGTACGAACCGCACGGGAGGCTTGGACATAATCTTCCTCTGCAATGGCAAAGGGCTGGGCTCGATCGGGCGAAGAGGACGTCGTGCCGTTCTCACTCACTTCTGCCTCTGTGGTCGTGGCTTAGGTCTCCTTGGCGAAAGGGTTAAACGTCTTCAGGCTTCATACGGTGTAGATGTTGTCAGTGTGGGCTGGTACCACGGTACGGTAATTGGCGCGCATGATGGCAGCATAACGCAATACTCTTCGAACGTGACACTGCGGTCGGGCAGCTTGTGACTCGCCAAACCTGCACCTTGCAGATGAGCCTATGCGAGGGTCACCACCGTCCAAGTCCCTTGCGATACCCCCCGGGTTCGCCATGATGTCTGATATGGACCAGAGGGGAGATGGGCACACGACGAGGTCAATAAATGAAAGTAGGAGAAATATATCGAATGCGACATGGCGTTAATAAATAGTACAATGGTGTCGAGCTCTCTCCCTAGTCTAGAAGAGAAAGGCGGTCCGCCTCATCGTACTGAAAGGACCATCAGTACAATCAGATTAAAACTTGCATAGATCAAGACCAAATCTCTTGGTGGAAATCAATAGAAAACAAGACAAGTGTATCGCGTAGTCTAAGAATGGAAGTGTGATCAAGAGATGCACTCCCTGTGCCTCGTTCTTTTTGCTCGTCGCCTGTCATGCAGCTAGGCCAATCAAACGCGGGATCGATAATATTATAGCTCATCAACCCGGACAACCATCACCAAGCTCGAGGTAACATTCCAAATCATAGCCGCTGTTGCGAGCATTTCCAACAGTGCCATAGGGATAGAGGATGGTTTTGGCGGACGGAGGGACAGGGCCTGATCTAACTTAAATCAGATGTCGACTTGTTGGCTTGCATCCTGCAGCGTCTTGGACATCACTATCGCGTCAACCGTCGCACTGGTACAGGTTACAACTCCCGCCTGTGGATAGAAATGTGTCTGTGATGAGCACGGGTATGCGCTTAGCTTTGTAATTGTTCTGATCAGCATACGAGTGCTAAGATGGATGACGAGACATGCAAGTGATGCAACGCGAGCTAGGTGGAGGGTGGCGGCGCCTTAAAGCTTTATTTACAAGCAACTGATCTTGCAACGACCGCACCCTCATTGACAGCCAGTAATCCAGTATTCGACGCTATCACACTGGTGATTCAGTGAACAGCGGCGCCGTCAGCGCCACTAGCCTTCTAGAAGTCCTCTCAGGTTACCTGTTGTTAGAGTACTGACAGACGTTGCAGCTATGCTCAGGCTGGGCACTCGGCTCGCTTCGTAGTTGGTACATTGGTGGACGGATACCTAGGTAATTCGCCTTTCACGCGTGCTGATCGGAGAAATTGAAGCTTGTGGCAACAAGCTTCGATGAAATTAATCAGGCACTTCAGGAAACAATTAGCTTCGGGTCTGAACGAGATCGTCTTGAACTCTGTCGAAGAGTCCTGAAAGCAAATAGATACAATCGGCTATCCTTACCCTTGGTTCCATTACTACAGATCGGCCTCATCGGCCTCATCAGCCTCATCACTTCTGAGAGGACAGAGGCACACAACGTTGAGCTGAAAATGATTGGTATTCAGGGTCCACTCGCTCCCTGTGTTAGGAAGCCTTGGTCGACGGATACATCTCCGGAGAAGGTACGTCGAGTGGTATCATGTCTTATTGCCATCACCATATCTGCGCGAGACCCCTGTTGGGTATAGCCTTAATGGTCCATCGCATATCCAGGCACGGCAAGCGAAAGCCCCCTACTAAGCTGGCGGAGTATCATGTATGACAACGAGTAGAAACTTCGCATCTGTCCATCCTTCTCAGCATGATGCCCAATGGAAAGCGGTATAGAACATACCCGGGACAATGACTATCTCAGTCTTGCGTGTCCTCAACCGAAGGAGTTTGACTTCATCCGACATGTCCATGCCCTCTGTGAATGCCTTTGCTCCTGCCACAAACGCAAATACCATTCGTGCAATGTCCTCTGCACTGTGACCTTTCTTCTCATCTTTTGTGCTGCTAGGATAAGCAATCCCAGTTCTTATTGCATCCACCGGCTCTACGGAACCATCATGGCTTGAACCATTCCCCACGGATAGGTCTCGTGAAGACGAGGATGACGATCCAGCAAGAAGCCCAGTGCTGCGAATGATAGAGCCGTCAGATTTGGAGAGAATGAGGGTGGATTGGACACCAGGTTTCGATGCTAGGCGTGACAAATTCTCCAAGGTCGCTGCTGGCTAAGTTCCTGCTGTCAGCTTCTATTGAACGGCGTATAGCACCCAACGGAGCGGCATACCGTTGGTTGTACCATCTTGTTCACGCTTAGTAGACGTGTCTCAGGCCACTGCGTTGACCAAACTGCTGACTACGGCAAACACCAGTAGGTGGATGTTCTCCGACAGCGAACAATGCTTCTGGTAGACGAGGAGCAGACGTATCATGAAAAGCTCCAGCACGAACAAATGACCAAAACAAACCTGATACCAGACAGAATCACGTCGTCCTGGGCTGCACCATTTCGGAGTTAGTTATTTTTTATCAAGGGGATCATCTGAAGCTGTATCTCTTTCTTCCAAGACTTGTCTCACGACCCGAGCAAGAGGCATGAAAGGGGACGGGATGAATGCATACTAGTCGCGGAAGTTTTGGGCTTGTAGCACTATTGAAGTGAAGGTGTGGTAGACCAGCAGTAAGGGCACCAGCAACGAAGGATTCAGGGCGTACTCAGCGAAGACTTTCGGGTCTATCTTCGGTGGAGGCGGCCAAAGTTGGATATCAAACGTGGTAAAGTTGAGGAAGTAAGAGCTCATGCTGGACCGTGGTATTTTGGCTATTTTCTAAGTCCATACGGCCAATCCCAACCGGAGCGTCGGAAAGATGTTTCGTCGAGAGTTTTGCTATGGGCTGCACTGTTGGCTCAAAGCATCTTTTCAACGAAAGCACCCACGAGAATACTATCGAGTCCAGAACGTTCAGGTTTACTATCTGTACCATGGACTGTCATTAAGGTGGAGTGTTGAGAGGTTTGTCTGCTGCAATCAATTGCCGATCACTAAGCTAGCGTGGAGCCAGGATAGACAGCTCCTCCATCCGCACAGCATGTCAAACAATAGCGTGCAAACTTGCCTCACTATTCGAATCAAGGCCACGATTATTACAGATACTCACAAACCAAGGCAACGGCCGCCCTGAAGAGCTATGGGGTCGAGTGCAAAAAAGAAGAATGAGAAGAGGAAAGACTTCAAGAAACCCAAGCTGAAGGTTGGTAAAGCTCGCCCCAAGCCAGAAAATTTCACGGACACAAGCTTCAAGGCAAAGGGTCAGTGGATGCACAAGACCGAACTTAACACTCAATTCGCTGACTCTGCTCGAAGCCATCGTCCTCGCCCACCAGTCCCTCACTACCAATGCCCCCACTCAATCCACGCAATTCACCCACCACCTGTCCCTTCTCTCCTCCCGCTCATCGTCTCAACGACGCGACTCTCTTGCCTACCTCACTGCGGCTCTTACCTCCCGGCCCGTCAATATAACCCTCCCACAGCCTGTCGGCGTCCTCCTATCGAAACTCAACCCTCTGATACTGGACGGCAGCAATAGCGTTCGCATACAACTCCTCAAACTTCTTCGCACTCTTCCATCTCGAGAGATTGAACCTCATACAGGACAAACTCTGCTCTATATCCGCGCCGGACTCACCCATCTTGCCGCAGATATTCGTTCCTCAGCCACCGATTTGTTACTCTGGGCCATCGAAGCCTGCCCCAACGAGCTTGTCTCCTGCGCCGGTGGCTGGGTAAAGACGTTGAAATGCCTGCTGACTGTACTGCACTGGCACGCTCCTTCCCTCACACCTGGTACAGGGCCGGTCGTGGGGGCCAATGCATGGTCATCATCTCGGGCTCCTACTCTAGGAAGAGAAGGGTCAGAGGGTAAGTTGACGGTCAAGACATTGAATGTACTGGCTACATTTCTACGCGCCGGGCTAATGGAGGAACACAACGCCGACGAAGATGCTATGTGTGCCGAGAAATGGCCCTTCCCATTAAGGTATGTAGAGGCTCATATGCTACCGAAACGTTCGAACGCCTTTGCCCATCTCAACCTTTTTGGACCGCCAAGGGATGAAGAAAGTGAAATGTATGTTGAGCGAGAGGAACGCCACAGGATATTCCAAACAAGGTTTTATGCAATTGTTTCCAGTGAAGTTGAGGCGGCGAAGAGAGAAGGAGGTGAAGTGGGGAGGGCGGCTGCAGGGGTGGCTAAGGTCTTGACAGGGGGAATGGAGGGTTTTGAGCTAGGGTAAGTGATACCAATGGTGGGAATTCGAGTCAAGAAACAAGACATGCATTCTTTGCATCCTACTTCATTCAAGTGCTGAATGGGGTGGGAGTCTTGCTATGACGGGTGAATGAGAAAAACTTCGTACTTAAATACTAGTATGTAAGCTTAGAGATGCGGCTGATGACGCCTGAGGAAATGTACTCGAAGCGTTTCTAGCTCTTCGGCAAGGTTTCTGCCACGATCAAGATGCAGTATAAGGGAATGAGAAACCAAGGCATGTTTCGTGTTCAGTAAACTAGATCCTATCTTGAGTACCTGTTGGATGAGCTAAGAAATCCACCATTTTTCGAAAAACGCTCCACTGGTCGGGAACCATAATGTTGATAGCAAGCCGGCCGCATAGCCTAAAAAGAGGGAAAACCGAAAGACATGCCTCAGCCGTTGGGAAACATCGACGGATCCCTCTTTAGTTCCCCATATAGGTACTGGCATCAACACCTTTCTCTGGAAATTCACTATTGCGGCTGTTAGCAAATATACTCGCATTGCCCCAAGACTCTGCTTCTCGGCACCTACGGGATTTTGTTCTCAAATCTCGTCTCAATGGCCTTGATGACGTCTTGATCTGCCTCACTGCTTACGAATGAGATACTCAAACCCTTTGTTCCAAATCGTCCAGCACGGCCAACTCTATGCAGGTAGGAGTCTGCATCGCCGGGCAAGTCGTAGTTGATGGCTAGGTTTATACGCTCAATGTCGATACCACGGCCAAAGACATCAGTCGCAACGCAAATACGCTTGTTGAATTCTTTGAATTCTTTGTAGCGTTTGATACTATCATCGTCAGCATGCATTGGTGACATCAGTTCAAACGTGTGCTCACCGCTCTTCTTGGCTGACACCAGAATGCACCGCAATACTTGGGAAGTTGCACTCGCGAAGCAGTTTGTCCAACTCCGTCGCTCGCAGAGTGCTCTTGACGAAGATGATGACCTGGTTGAATTCGAGGGTATCTAGCAGCTCGTTGAGCTTCCGGTTCTTCTCTGCCTCGCTGAGCTGGATGTAGTACTGCTGAAGGCCGTGAAGAGTGAGCTTGGTCTCGTCATCGACGTAAATTTCCAGAGGATTCTGCATGAATTTCTTGCAGATTGGGCGAATCTCCTGAGCGAGAGTAGCACTGAACATCATAACCTGCTTTTGAGTGGGAGTGGCGCGGAAGATATCCTGGACGTCGCGGCGCATGTCTGAAGTGGTGTCTCAGCTTTTGTACGTATATTCGAACTTTCATACGTGATTTACCAATCTGATCCAGCATCTTGTCACATTCATCAAGAACGAAGACCTTCACGCTTCCGAGACGAAGCTTCTTGTCGCGGACCAGTGCGTTCAATCGACCGGGTGTAGCAACGATGATGTGAGGGTGAGTGTCTTTGTTTGACAACGTCTCGATATCCTTCTGCATCGGTGTTCCGCCGTAGAAGACCCCAGTTTTGATATCCGGAAGATACTTGCTGAACCGGGCATATTCGTTCTTGATCTGGTAGGCGAGCTCGCGTGTGTGACACATAACCAAAGTGGCGCACTCGCCGGGCACTGGCTCGATTTGCTGAAGCGTCGTAAGGACAAAGACTGCAGTCTTTCCGAGACCGGACTTTGCCTGGCACAGGACATCGGTTCCAAGAATGGCTTGAGGAATGCACACTTGCTGGACTGTGATGAGGCGATGCCGAAGTTAGACTTGCTTTCCCGAAATGATATTTATTAAAATGCCCGGTCCATTTCAATGTCCGTCCATCTCGCAATTACATAATTCTCCAGGAAGTATGTCTGCTCTGCCAAAGCCAAACAAGCAGACCAATACTCAAAAGAACCTCTTTTATAGTATGCTCAATGCATCTGCAGGCGGCCTCGGAAGTCTCTTGGAAATACGATGCTCTAGAGCCCCCATCATTGTGGATATCATCGGTGAAGATGACAGCAGCAATGAGATTCACTTGAAGCGCCTTCAATCCGTTATTGCTATCTGCAGCCGGAATACAGTGTAGCCAGATCCGGTGAGACTTCCTTGGGCCGCCCGCGGTTGGAACGAAACAGCGCAATGATACCTCTCGCGAAGATGGACGGACGGATGGACACACGAGGCACTGGAGGAAGCTAGGGAGGAAACTTATGACTGACCCTCCGATGGATGCTCGAAACCGCAGTCGGTGATGGCGCGGAGAAGCTCTGGCTTCAACAAGAAATCCCGGAAACCAGTAGAGTGAATGCCAACATAGCTGCCCTTCTTGTCCGCGTTACCTCCAGAGACGGTCAAGTCACCCTTCTTGGTTGCGGCTCCATTGGTGGCTGCTGGCGCCGCGGCTGCTGCATCGTTGGTTTGGAGTTCCTCATCCGAGTAGTCAATGAGATCTTCTTCGTGAGACATGTTGTAGGATGACGGGAGCTGGGGATAGAGTGGAGGGGGATGTAGTGTGAGACTATTGTCGAGTGGTAACGCAAGGCTACAGGGACAACGCCGGCTGTGTTGAAATGTGCAGTCAAAATCGAACGGCCTTGACTAGCCCGAGATCCTTAGAGACAGTAGTTATCAGCCGTAAGATGTCGGAGTGAGGGATTGAGTTGGATGAAGTTGTTGAATGTTGTTGCGAAAGAATGGATGATCAAGGAGCCAAGAGAACTTGAAATGAATCGCAGCTAGACCGAATCCATCATCGCGCGGAAAGTGAATCATTCGCTTTCGGTCCACCCTGCGACGACATCATCTCAAAAAAAAAATTTACAAGAAGGCACTCTGGCCAATTCAGCCTGCCACCAATCTGCAGCTCTCTGTGCTGCTGCATGAAGTTTCAATCGGCCAGCCATGGCGCAAGATAAAGCAAAAACGCAGAAGGGACTTGCTCAGAAACATCTACATTCGAGGATTTCCTACCTATATCAAGCTGCCACTTACCTTGCGAAAGGTACAGATCAACCGCAAGTGAGATCGAATTGCGTCAATAATGAGGCCAAGAAACAGAACAAGCCTGGTGAAGAGCTTCAATGCGCAGTAGCTGCCTCTCAGGCTGTGTCTGAGAGCCTCCCTATTTCGCCAACCGAACCAAAAATATGGATGCGCAAAATCAGTTCTGATGATGATAGGGTATCCGAAGAATCCGCTCTCTCCCGCCAGCTGGTTGTCCACCTCCGAGCGATATCGCTGAAAAGCCAGATTAGGCTATCTCCTGCGATGAAGCATACGATATGCAAGCGCTGTGACATTCTTCTAATGCCAGGATCTACGTCTACGTCCTATATGGAGAATAACAGCCGCGGGGCCAGGAAAGCTTGGGCTGACGTCCTAGTCACGACGTGTACTGGGTGCGGTACCGCAAAACGATTTCCCGTGGGAGCCAAGCGCCAGCTTAGGAGGGAGTCCAGGATTGGCAAAGCACGAGATGTGGGAACATCGGGCCATGAGGCTGTCTAGCATGAGAATAGTGATTGAGCTGTGTTGCCTCCAAGTCGAGTCCTACTTTTGCATATCGCCACGGTGCCGCTTAGGGTGGCACTCCAATTATTTTCAATATGCCGACTTGTGAAGGGAAACATTTTACAACAATGAGATAGTGATTCAAGAAAACATGGAACCCCAGCAGTAAGGACACAATGTCCCTACTTCCTGTACGGTGACTGAAGCGCACAACATCTAGCCTACTGGACTCCGTGTCATGACAAAATAGTGGTGGATGCCGTGGCCGCCATACTTGGACATGTCTATATCCAGTGTCTCTACGTCCACAAAACCCGTGCTTTGGTAAAGATGGTGACCTTCCGACGATGCTTCCAAATAGGCTTCGAGCCCCAATCCGTCTGCGAGTTTGAGCCCCCAACACAGAAGCATTCTCCCAGCACCTCTACGCTGATGCTGTGGTTCACATACAAGCATGTTCAGGCCTAGGAGTCAATCATTTTAGTGCGAATTGTCGAACGGAAGGTCAAGTCAACTCAAACTTACAGCAATGCGGTTTTCCGCCCATAACCTTTTGCCTTTCTACACAAATGGCATTGTAGAATTCGTTGGCGGCGTCAACATTGGTCCCTAGGTCCCACTTTCTCGCTTCCGTATGTTTCCACTCGCTCTCTGGTCTTTCCATTTCATAAATATTCCATCTGGCAAACGCGATGATCTCGCCAACGTCCGTGTCCACGGCCTTGATGAAGCGCATGGTCGGATGGTTTGAGATCTCATCTCGCCAACGCTCAATGGAAGCGCCCCTGGCCTCTGTACCCGGGATTTTTGGATACATGAGGCGATTCCACGGGTCTTTGCTGAAGGCAGCGTACATGATATCGAGCAGTCGTTGTATATCAGCCTCTTGGGCCTTTTCAACGAGGAGAACCATGTTGAGGATAAAAAGTTTCTCTCGAGGGTGGTGGATGCGTAGCTTGCCAAGAGGAGTACTTCTAGGCACGGTAACTGCCCTTTTTGAAGAAGTAGCAGAAAAATGAGTCACGAGTAGCAATCTTTAGCCAGGGTTAAATGTAAAGTATAGTGCAAAGAATAAGAACCGAAGTAGCGTCTTCAGCCCCAATAAGAGGCAAGTGTATGCGGGAGCTTCGCACTTCATCTGCATGTTTGAGTCACCGATCTTCCCCAATTTCCCAATCCTCCTCTATCGATTCAATAATGACACAGGTTCGAGCTGGCCTCTGGTAGGAATTTGCCACGCGATCGTCAATCTTCGCCCTTGATCGGATTGAACAGACCCGAGCACCCGAACGGCGGTAACATGCAGACAAATCGGAAGCAAAGACAAGGCGGAAGGTGAAGAAGCCAGACATGCTGAGTGGTGTGGTGGGGTGAGGCGAATCAACATGTCGATGTGGTACAAGTCTACGATACAATCCCTCGAACTGTTGTACTTCTGAAAATAAGATACATATAATAAAAGAATCAAGCGAGCCGGTGTTGTTGGCAACCCACCATGCATACTGGCAAGCCGCAAATGAGATGTGGGAATTTGGAAATTGGAAACACTCACATGGTAAATATGCCCTGCTCAAATGGAGAGCTGAAGGACACACTGGCGGATATGAGAGCATGACAGCCGGTTGGCCACCTCCCACAATTACTTCCCACCCTTCGCACTTCATTTATCCATCTGACCCTCATCGTTCGAAACGTTGCTGATTCGGAATCGCCAACAGTGTTTCATGGACTGCTAATTCCTTCTCTGTGATTCTTGGATTTACATCCCAGAGTCCTGCGCTTTTCTCGGCATTTTTGGTGATATCCCCAATGCCCCATGCATCGCTTCTTTTAGTTGACAGCAGCTTTGGAAGAACGCGAGAAATCCCATCAAGTGAGCAAAGTAGGATGACTATCTCTTACATATCTTCTTCATGTTGAGCATTTCCATCATTGTTCCCGTAAGGACATTTATGGAGAGGCTTTGGTCACAGAAGACTCGGGCAGGAATTGATTTGAGCACCATTTGAGCAACTCTCGTAGTACTTCTCTAACTATGTAGTTAACGGTTTGCAGGAAAGCGGTCCGTGGGACCCTGTTCTACCATCTGGGTGGCAATGGCCCATGGATAAAGATGATTGATGGAAACGTTGCCTTTGCAATTAACATCTTCCCACCGCACGGTGGCACCGTGGTGCAAGTACATATGGTCAGTCGCTGGTCGATCGAAGTGTTTTGGAGCGCTGTATGTTGTACTTCCGGCCAGATGTCGAAGCATTCTGAGCGATGTCCAACAACTAACGCTGGTGATTAATCGTACCTTTTACTGCACTTTTCAATATCGCTTGGTGTCAAACCGAGAAATTCCATAGGCTAATCTGTCACCAGGGATGCTAGATCTTCTCCAATGTATCAAGCACTCGAACATCACCTTCGAGGGTGATCTTTCTTTTGTCAACGACTGGGGTTACCTCGCCTTAGCCTTGCCTCTTGCGGCCCGTCCTTCATGTTGAGACGTTGACTTGAGGAGGCAGATCCTACTCTTGACCACAACCACATTGCAGTCACCTGCCTATATGCAGGTACACTCTCAGATTTTCAACAGGCGCCAAAATGTGGTCTCGCTATTGCCAACTCCTGCACCCACCTAGAGCAGGAAAGAGGCTCACACTGTGGGCCAGCGACTCCAAGCGCGTCATCGAAACGACAGAGAATTTTGCCAATGGCTTATTGGGTCTTGACTGGTCTTCAAAATTGTTGAGCGCAGCTTCATCCCGGAGACGAATAATCTTGGTGCTGACACTCTAAGGCCTGGCGACACTTGTTTGGCGTCTCGTCATGATGCGGCGCTCGGCCACCATTACGGATACACGCAGCTTTTCAAATTTCGAGACATCTATCTACCTTCAATTGTAGATCGGTTCCATCCAAGAATTTCTCACGTCAACCTCACCAACAGTGAGGTCTATAGCATGCAGGAAATGTGTGGCTTCGAGATCGTAGTCAGGGGTAGTAGCCCATGGTGTGAAGTCTTCACTCGCAAAGACTGGCTCAATTTCGAGTGCGCACATGACATGATACACTACTACCGCGCTGGACCAGGCAACAGCTACGCACCCACTATGGGTTGGCTCTGGCTTGATGCCGCAGCCAATCCATCGAAAGGGGGCCCATTGGCCGAAGGGGCATTCTTTAGCTTGTGAGTCTATGCAAGATCCACTTCGAAGTTCCAATAAATCATGCAGCACTCCAGCGTCCGTGACGGTGACATTCTCCCCATGCTCACCGCCCTCGATCTCTTCAATTCCACCCGTCACCTGCCCACAGCCTACAGACTGCTCGGCCGTCACTGGTCCCTGTCATTTTCGAGCTTCTCTAATGCGACAGCACCCAGCCGTCGCCCTGAAAGGATGGTCTTCTGCGCCCCTAGAAACGGCCTTTGCTAAGCAAGACCCATGTTCGACAACGGCCGAAGAAGCGAAAAAGTCATTACGTTCGTACCTATGTCAATGACGGTGCTATTGCGCTGCCAAGTTGTAAATCAAGTCCCGGCTCGAGCTGTCCACTCAGAGAGTTCCTGTCACACGTTAAAAGGAGAGGCGAGGAGAACCGGAGATGTCAAGGAGATATGTGGTCTGAGCGTGGGAACCCTGGATAGTATCACGTTCTTGCATCAATCATCGGTCGTCCCTAACAGAGCTGATGAGACTGGGACATCTGTCCTTGGTTCCTTCCTCAATCACGCAGTCTACGCACGGGTGTGCTTTTCTGACCTTTGATCGTCGATAGTGCTAGTAGTCAAGCAGTGCTGAAATCCGAATCAGAACGGTGGGGCGTTTGGACACGAGAAAGATGCGACGGCCCGAGGAGATCGGATTTGTGCTTTGGGGGAATAGGCGATGAGCAGAAGCTCTAACAAAGACTGTAGACATCGAAAGGGGTCTGCAAAATGCTCCAATACTAGACATAGTCATTAATGAAATCATCGATAAATTAGACGGTTCCTCGGATCCATGACAATCTTTTGCATTGCTCTCTGTTTCTGTTGTAGAACGCTCGCTGCGTCAGCCACATCGAATGAAGACTCCATGTCTATGGCAACAAGACCGGAGCCTGGGAGCACTGCTGGCCCTGCCATTTGTCCTGTGTATTGTATGAGCATCATCCGCATCTGGTCCGTGTGTATGCAAAAGAGGAGCTTGGCTACGGCGAGATGGCTCCAGGACGCGACTTTGAGACGCAGGCTGTGGGCTTTGTGGAGGACAGGTTGACAACAGGCAGGCGTCGGGCTTTCTCTGACCGTGAATGGCGGTGGATGGGAGAGGCTGACATGCAAAATATGATAAGGGCAGGTAAGGTTGGGAAGGACAAGGAGAATGTATGATCTACAAGCCGATTTCGTTTCGTTACAGGCCTTATCACTGTTCATGGCAGCAGCTTGACCATGCTAGTGAAAGACTCGTTGAGGTGGTCGCAGGTTCGTTGATTCAACATTCTATAAAAAAATGAAGTATATAGGACTCTGAACTGAGAAGTATGACAGGAGGGTTTCCAGAGCTTTTCCGGCGTGTTCCATGTCTTGTTGCTCTTTTTCCTGTGAATCATGAAGGACATCTCTTCTCTTGGCACGTACCAGCACCTGGGCGTTTTCATCGTCGTTAACAAACAGCTCTCCATCGTTGGGCCGCATGTGAAGCATGTGGGGGACTGTGAATAAGCTAACAACGGAATGTACGAGACGTCTGACGGGTCCACAATGGCTAGGAGAGAGGCGGACAGTAAGCTCCGCGAGCCGGCGTCAAGTTTCCTGGGCTCCGAAGCTTGGTGGTCTGCTGTTCTTAAAGGATCTCGACGTACTCGCAGCCATCTATTTGCACGTCCTCAAGGCTAGGCGACCCTTAAGATAGGATATCGGAAACAGGAGGCATTGGCCTAAAGAGGACGATTATATGCAGGTCCACGCCCCTGCACCATGGCGAAGTAAAGAGAAGTGGAGGATAAGGACATTCTGGGGAGAGATGCCAGTCTCCACCGGCTTCTAAACAACGGGAGCCTTTTCGCCATTTCTCCAGACCACTATTCCATCAGGGGAAAGCTTGCTGGGTAGCAAGTATATTTGGTGGGAGATAGGCCTGTTTGAGAGTGGTGGACTGCTGATGATGGAGAACCAATGGATATAGAGCAACCAAAATGGACATGGAAATTGGTCGGAGTCGGTTGATTGCGCCCAGCAATAAAAACATTCTGGATCATGCGCATGTGGCAAGCATCAACTTCTGGAGCGCAAAAATAGTATGTTCATCGAGAATAAGATGGCGAGAGAAAGAGGAAGGGACGGAAGAGGGGTGCAAATAAAATGTTGATGGTTCATGGTCGCACCATACATGGCCGCGAAGATTGAAGGGTGTGTGCCTCTCGTCTCTGTCCCGCACGGTATGATATACTCGGGAATTTTCATTTTCCTGTCGAAGAATGGAGCCCCGATCTTGAGTCTTAGTCTGAAAACTGGTGAGGATGCTACACCACCTGGGCACTCAAACGCTGTCAGGAGTAGGTAAGTGTTACGGGTTTTTGATCAGGAGCTAACCATTAAATTTTAATGAAAGTGCATTTTCGAGACAATTGACAAATCTGGTACCCAAGATGGTGTCATGTCCCTCTTTAGGCCAAGGCACAGACCGGTACTGTCGAGATCTTCAAGCTGATGTGCTATTTTCATTCGGCGCAGATAGTCAACACTGCTGGAAGATCCATATGACTACGCACGACATCACAACATCACGACATCGAAAATGAGACATGCATGCAAGCATGCAAGCATGCAAGCAAGACAATTGCATAGGATGAAAGTGAGATCGTAAAGACATGACTCAAGGGAATTAATGCGTTAACACTGTCGACAGAAATTTGATCATCGAAGCTTTCGGATAGGAT